AGCCGTCTACTGTTCGCTTCACACATGGCAGGGCCATGCCTCACACGTACTTGTTGCTTTGCACTTTTGCTTGCTTCTGTATTAGGGCCTGCCAGTTCTATGCACGAAATGCTGGCAAGGCTGCAGCGGGAAATATCGACTGAAAATCACATGTTCAGAGTCTTTCAGGGGGGCAGGTTGAGCTGAAAATCCAGAATGAATCGATCCGACCAGACAGCAAACCATGCCTAATGCCCCTTGCTTTGGTTTGGGGATAGTTGAATTGTGCACAAGCAGACCATGCCCCGAGCATTCCGCAACAGTAGCCTGTCTTACCAGGAACAGGCAGAATCTGAAGCCCCGCCCAACTTTTGATTCCTTTTGCAAAATGCCACATTTTTTCGCCAGAAGCTTCTCTAATTTGATGTATGGCGCTTTTGAAGCCGAGCCTAGCCAAACTCGGCAGACTTCGTGTGGACCTACTGTTTGCAAGGTTTCAAGGTGAGGCTGTAGTACTTGTATGCGGGGCGGCTTGGGAGATCAGGCCGAAGTAAGATGTTGTCGGATGGGATGCAGCGTCAGTAACTGTGCTACGCGTAGGTGATGTGGTGGGCTTTGTAATGAAACGCGTGTGTGCAAGCTAGCAGTGGCTTTCGTTACACAAGGTGGTATGTGGACGAAGTGGCCATCGCCTGAGGCTAGCGCTGTGGCAATATGGGGACCCTGATTTCTGCATCAGGCTGTTTGGTCCTTCAGCAGTTTGGCAGCCTATGCAGCCGCGTGTGAGAAGGCACGGCGCAACTTTGAGGTTGCCGGAGCAGACCGCAATTCGGTCGCTCTCCTGCACATTCTTGCATCAAGCCCCGTTCTTTGCAGTAAGAGTAAATCGAAGTGATGAGCGAAAACCCTGGGCGCTCATTGACCGGCACTCAATTTTTGTGTGAAGCCTCCTAGCAATTTGGCTCGCAATCACGCGAGTCACGCATCTGGCCTGGGCGCTTGAGATGTGGTTGTTCCTCCATGTATGTGGGCTCAGCGTCGCGTGCTGCTAGCAAAGTGCCCAACTGTCGTCGCCATCAGCGCCGCAATTGTAAGCTCGATGATGCTAACTACAACCAACTCAGGCATACTCTTGTCAATCGACGGCAGAAGTGGGAAGTATTGATGGTTACACTACTGAAAGCTGCAAGACAAGTTCCAAAGGGCATCGGCGTTTTCCCAGGCAGCCCTGCAGAAGTAAGTATAGACGCAGGTGGCACGCGTGAGCTTCTCTGCGCCGACACAAGACAAACGACTTATACATTCAGGTCTAGCCTCTCTCAACTGCTTGTATTCTTTCTGTCCAGGATAGCCGGTTCGCCGCTCATTTGCTCCTGAAAGTGGATGTGCATGATGAGCTCGATGGCTGCCCAGCTCTAAAAGATGCACCGGTTGATAACAAGTCAGTTGAGGGAGAATGTCAACACATTTTTATGTTTTTCTTTTCCTTGGTCTTTGCTGCGCTTGCATTTGCTTGGCATGGGAGTCTAGCTATGAGGTTATGACGACTTCGTTTGCAAGGCGTTGGCACCCAATGGCTTGGCGTTGACGTCCGTGACTGAGTTGGCTGTTGAAATCTACTGAAGTAGCCGCGTTAAGGATTTTCCATGGTTCTCCAATGTCTTCTGGGCTTTCCGCGGCCAAGTTTCAAGGTTGGGCGGTCCCGGAAAGAGCTGGCGAAGATCGGGAACAGGCCGCGTAAATACTGTGAATCCCTTGGTACAGTAAGTTCCAGTTAATCATTGCATGAGCTACAGCTACGGGTGGCCTTGCAGGTTGGATACCTGTGGAAACAAAGTGCGCTGTCCTGGACTCTGCAGAGGAAAGAACTCTCGTGCCGTGCCGGCCCGTGGTGCTGTGACTTGCTGTCAAGTACTGACTCTCCCACCGCACCCTCCACTGCTCCCAAACGATTGTACTTGGGGCCATCTGGCCCGGACAAGTCGCGACCCAGCGTTGCAGTTCACGGCCCTACCTGTCCTCGCAGAAATTGTGTCTGTCCGAGGCCCGGCATGTCTAAATCGCACTTTTAAATCTTCCACTGAGGTGGGCCTTTATGGGTGCTTTTCCTGGGCAGCAGGACCCTTTAAGCTGCAAGCTTGTGTTCAAAAGGCCAGTAGAGGCTGCTGCAAGATTTGATGGTGCAAGGACAGGCAGCATTTCTTCACCAAGGCTTCCGCACCATAGTCAGATCCAAGTGCTTCGGCTGCAACTACCCGTGCACAGTTCTGCTGTCGCAGGCATGTCAAGCACAACGCGCTGATTGTTCTGAATGTAGGTGCTGGTCTCAGGTTGAGTGCTCACCCATCAATTTGGCTACATCCGGAGCCTGTCCATCTTGCAAACTAGTCACGCGTACCGCGACACGTCTCGAGATTGTGAGCAGTCGGGGTAATTGAAACCAAATCAACGCATGATGGCTGGATCCAGCACTTTATCAAGCACATAGGAGGAATGATGATTCATTTCGCGGGAGATACAAAGATGCGCGGCTCAAGTTTCATTGAACCGGCAAATGTTTTGCACTCTGTATGCGCTGAATACCTCAAGCTAGATAGTCTCCCGACCATGCTAGGGCCCCTTATGGTGTTTGCTCCTGAATTTTTTTGACCACGGGCCGCATTCTAGAGCAGCCTTCTGACTCAAGACTTGATGTGGCTGAGCAAGGCTTTGTAAGTCGTGCTGCCGATCAAGATCCAAAGTGAGTATGACTAGTATATACTAGTATGGCTCCCTTAGGCAAAAGGCTTGGCAGCAATTTATACTTGTATTGGGGGGTCGGGCAACATTGCCGTCAACTGCTTGCCCCTCAAGATGCGTTGATTATGGACTTGCGACATGTTTTGCAAAACATGCCTTGTAGTGCACGCTGGTGCTGGATGGCAACGTACTGATACACCGCACTTCCGAGCTAGGATCGAGCCTGCAAGCTGTGTTTGATGCTGTGTGACCTCTGCGGATTGCAGCTTGCAAGCACGAGTATGTTTCCTGAAAAGAAGCCAAACACAAGACCTTGAACTCAGATGATGAAATTTGATGTTTCTCGTTGGATTTGCCCCAGGAAAGGCAACTCAAGAAAATCAGCGGCCTCTCTGACAGGAAAGCATACACACCACCGCGTTACTGTTTGCATGTTTGCATTCTTTGCCTAAGAAGTCTTAAAGGTTTCTGGGTTGATGAACGTTTGGACTAGCAACTCCTGGATTATCGTGACGGCGAGCCCATCCGGCATGGTCACGGTACGACTGGTTGCGCCAGACGTCCCTACTCCTTGCGTGATGCGCACTGAACTTGCGTGGTCATGGTACGAGAACACCATGCTGGACGTAGTGGTTTCTTCAAGCCTCCCTCTTCTTTTGCATGGTGGAGTTTTCGCTGGCTCTCAAGCGGGATCCGCAAGTAGGCTGTTTGGTTCTTCGGGCAAAATCCAGGCGTCCTCCTCTGCAGAGGAGGCCCAGAAGGTACAGAACAGCGTCATCCTCAGCCTTACTGATAACGGCTTGAGGGATACCTCTATTCCGGACACACATCGAGAATGAATCCTGTCTCGCTGGGTACGTCGCACAGGCTCCACGCAGCGCGAGAACACGAGCTCGCAGAGCAGGCAAGATATCATGCAGCCTCACGAAGATTGAATGCCATGTTTTCACAAAGCCAGGAGTTGCCGAGGTCCGAAATTCCGAAGGCACCTGACACGCTCTTGAATGGATTCAACTGTTTAGCTGTTTTAGGCGTTGCAAGCAGTCAAGAATTTTTCACTTGCAGTGATCTTTCGACTCACTCGCAGAACCATTGCAACCTGGCGATCGCTTTTCAAGTGGCAGGGCGATGGTATAGCATGACCGACGAGGAAGCCACGCGTGCTGATGAGGCCTGACGGGACACATGAACATGCAGCTTTTAATTGCAGGCAAACTTCTTGTAGCATTTCGTTTCAATCAAGTTTCATAGCGTGAGGAGACTGCAATTCAAAGAGCGTTCATTCTGAGATTTGGATCGAGGCGTCAGTTCTGGAGTTGTTGGATGAGCTGCATGACAGAGCCGTCGGCGGCTTGAGGGACCGGGCCATAGCGCAGCTGCAGCATGCTGCAGCCAAGGGCTTGCGCAGCCAGCTGGATCACCTGGAGCCAGAAGCCAGCTGGAGACGTGGCTATCCGTGCAGTGCTGTGTGCCTTTTTGGGTTGGTGATTGCATGAGGTAACCTTTTGTTGGACATGGATGCTATGGAGGAGGAGGAGGCACCACCCGCGGGAGAGAGGATGCTAGACTGCTGAGACATGTCTGCCCGCACAGATTCATGTTGAACAATCAGTAAAAAATAGAAACTCAGCGCTGCTTGTTACTGGTGCCAGGAGCTTCCTGGCCTTGTGATATATGGAGAAAGGCAAGCTTCAATGTGAAAGCTGCCGGATGCACACAGCTTGCGGGTGTTGCAGGTAACTCTGATGGTGAGCCAGTTTCACTCCTTCACATCCTGACACCGAAGCGGGTTAAATGTCGTGCCCCATTCATTCAGCCAGCCTGGACCGTATCATGGTACGCAGCGCTTCCAAACACTGCGAGCATTCGACGAAATTGTGACATCTTGAAAGCCTTTTCAGTTCAGGAACCCACTCGTATTCACACTTACCATTTCCGCCAGTTACAGTTAGCGAGGAGAAAAAACACAGCAAGGCTAGATTACATTGGCCTGTCACCCAGCTATGCAGCATTCCAACGCCACATGGTGAAGAAGGGTCGCGTGCTAAGCCGGGGATGCGGACAGCGGAATGGTGGAGCTGCATTTTGTTAAACCAGCTTTGTGGGCAGCATTCCGGCTATCATCTTTTCTTACGCTAGTCCGCCGCTAGTCCTTCAATAGGCGCCTCGCTAAATCGGCAAACTCATGCCCAGGGGCTTGCAGTCCCCGTGCCCTAGGCAGAGCTTTGAGAGGAAACCTCCCAAACAAGCCTGCAGCGATGTTCAAGCATGTTCAAACAAAGGCAAACTGGGCGACCTTCTTGGTGAGGGTGTCTGCGAGGAGCAGCCACTTGACTCAGCACAGACATAAGATTGCAACAGGTTGCGCAGGGTGCCATCAGTACCAGTGTGAGGCTCTCCGTGTCAGAGAAATATGCCAAAAAGTCTCTGGGCAGAATTGATGACTACGGGCAAGCCTGTTGCTAATATTGAGACATGTTGCGCTCTGCCTGAAACAACCTGAGGTACAATGAGAAGAAAGACAGGATTGAAGCTGCTAGAGCTTCTCAGGTTTTTGCAGATGAGGACGTGGCCAACACCTCGGAGGACCAGAAAGAAAAACGAGGGTTGAAAGGTCATGTCAAGTTCGGCTGCAGAGGCCATGCTTCGTGCCAGGAATCTACGGAAGATGAGAAGGCAGATTTATTGACGGAACGTGTGGAGTCAAAGATTTTTGACACACTGTCGAAGATCAAGGCCGGCCTGACGCAAATAAAGGTTTGCAGAAGCTGTGTCGAGCTTGTTCCATTCTACGTCCCTGCTAGCGGCTCTCTAAATGTGTTGAGCAGTGCAAAAGGAGATGTGCTTCACGCGTTTGGGTAGATCAGCTAACGTTGAAGATGATGTCAACGGAGCTGCAAAGAAAGAATCATTGCCGGAAGCGTTGGGCACAGAATTCAAAGCTGGAGGCTAAAGATCCGTCGATATACAAGAGCATCTCAGCGTGCGAGAAGTTTACGGAAAAAAAGCCTGGCAGACTGATCGAGTGAAGAAGCAAGCCACTGAGGTAACACAGCCTTTTTCCACGATGACGATTTTCAGGACTCTCAATGGCTGGAGCTCATTGCTTGTCTTACCCAGGTGCTGCCTGCCTGGGGCGCGTGGCTGGACTCCAGCTCATGCAATGACCCCGGCAATTGACAGGAGCCCGTGGAAGCCAAATCAACAAGCCAGCTGGCAACACAAAAGATGACGTACAAGAACTTCATCAGGTTTGGGATAGAGAATGCCCTGCTAAGATCTGCTAAGTGTGTCGCTGAGCTTACCCATCCTCTGTGCCTTGGAGGAAAACCCTCATGCACGAGGGGGCAGATGCGATCACCAGAGAAGAGGAAGACGTCGCAGCAAAAAAGAAGCGAAGGCTGCAGCAAACAGCAACCTTTCATCAAGAAGCCATGCTAAAGAGCTTGCATCAGCCGCTTGCTTGCCAGGAAGACCCCTGCCGAGGAGCAGCAAGATTTGCAGGAAGAAATCAGAAAGGCAGCAGGAACAGTGACCTCAGTGGAAGGCCGGCGCAGTGGTGCGTAACCTGAGGGGCTGTCATCCAGCGTTGCTGAGGTGACGACGATTTGTTCTCTCTGAAGGAGCAGAGCCCCGAGGAAAAAGAAAGGCAGGACGAGGCATGCTCGGGAGCGCATGCGCTGCTCGATGAGATGACCAAGCGGCAGCTGTCTTGGCCTCTGGTGGACACTGCTGATGCGAGGAGTTTGCCAAATTTCAGGCCAAGGCTGAACGCAAAGGTGACAACGCAGAGGCAGCGACTGCTTCTTGTGTGCTTCTTGTTTGAGGTCGGCTCAAGCTTGCGCGAGCGTGACAAAACCTGCGTGAACTGCTAGCCTTTGTGGCGTTCCTTTGCTCTTTTGCCGTGGTTCACGACAAACAAATTGTGCTGGAGTTCCTTGCTGAAGGTAGAAACCTTGAAGCACGACAGCTTCTGACTGAAGACTTCGCCTCTTTCATACAGCTGCAAGGGCACAGCACGTCTCATCATTCGGTCCCTCTTGGCAGCGCTTTCAAGCTCCCCCGCCCACACAGATGGAGTACTCACACGTTTAATCTACTCTCCATTTGCCCATCAGCCCGCTGGTGCCATTTGGCTTGCCTCCTGTGCCTGGTCCGTTTTTTGACCGCCTTACCCTTTCATTGCCTAAATCCTTACAAAGATAAGACTTCAGTCCTCACTGCAGTCGCTGCAGCAAAGGAGCTTCAGATAACCATCATGGACTGACAGGCTGTCATTGCCAACTACTGGCGAGGTGATGAGGAGTTGGATGAGGACGAGCGTGCGGCAGCCCAGATTCCGCTTTGGCATACCAACATTCCCCAAACTGCATCCAACACAGAGAGAAGTTAGCATCACCTGAAGCCAGTATTCTTTGAATTTCTCTCGCGGCAACTAGTACCGATTGAGTGCTGCAAAGGGCTGATGCTATCGCGTGGTGACAGCTCAGCATGCTTGGTGTGGATCGGCACGGCCCCGGCTGCCCTCCCGAATCAGAGCTTTGGCATTTGGTACCTGAAAAAAAGCGCTATCTGTAGACTTTTGCAACCTATCTAATATCTACACTTTATAACTTGCTTACCCGTGACAACGCGCTTTTGAGGTTTTTTAACGTCAAGCTACCTTGGGCTGCAAATGCTGAGCCGACAATTGACAGCAAAACAGCCATCGCAGCGGTTCCACGAAACTTTGGGAAGACGCCTGGCTCAAAAATGTGCAGGCTGGACCAAACAGTCCTCCATTCAGCAACAACCAGCAGAGCCGGCAAAACATGCATTTTGATCTCGCGGCCTGCCACCAGACAGATCGCTTTGCTGAGACAACTCTGTTGCGAGACCGGCAAGGCAGAAGTGGCACTAGATAGCCCGGGCAGCTGGATTTCGGACATTTTCGAAGCAAAGCTGCAGTGAAAGTCCCTGCACCAACTTGCAGAGACATTTCAGTGCTTGGTGCTTCTCTCACCACGTTTGCTGAGAAAGGTAAAGTCTGAGTGCCGCACACATGTTCGCGCCATTGATTGCAGTTCAGTCTACACACGCAGTGTGACGGAGGGACAAAATGCACAATCCTATCATCATGAAAGGAGTACTGAAGGAGACTCAAGGTTTGACCACATGTTTCTAGAATACCTTCACCAATAAGCTTCGAAGCAATCTTGCAACAGATGGGCAGGCAAAAAAGAATCCTCTTGATATTGTCAGCAAGCCACCCCGGAATTGATGCATTGTGATGTTGCCGGTGAGGCTTTTTGCGCGACTACCTGGTGAATCGACAGTGGCTGGAAACAGACTCGCTTCAAGCTCGCAGCACAGTCCCTGCGTCTTGTTTGGGATGTGGTGCTGGGTCTGAGCTGGCTGCAAGCCAAAAATGCTGGGCGGCCCTTTCGCAAGGTTTGTCACGGAATCATTTGGCTCGCAACAATGCGAGAAAGATAATTAACAACAGCCTGCAACAAAGGGGGGGTCCCACAACAAACCGGGATCCTGGTCCACTGCGCATCACACGAATGCAGATTTGAATGAGCAACTTCGTTGGTAGTCTTGTTCTGGCAGTCCATGGAGCTCAGATGGAAAAATGAGCAAACTTCGTGGAAGGATTACGGATTTCTTGCGCAGCTAGGAAATCTGCTTAAGCTCTGGAGGCTCTGGGTATTGCAGGTCATAGATGCAGACAGCCCGTAAAGGTTTACTTAGCGTCGTTTTTTTGATCCCCTTTACTGATAATGTACGTAGTGCCCTTTGCGCACGATAGGCAAGGGGTTGTGCATGTGTGTCCTCGTGAGTGCGTCATCGTACCATTAGGATTGTTGAGTTCCCAGCCCAGCAAGGTGTTGATTCCGCTCCCTGAGGGTCTGCGTGAGGGTGCAGTGCAAGACCTTCTGCACACGCAAGCTGCAATTCGGACACAGCACTTTGCAAAGCTATCTCACGCCAGGAAGGAATGCCCGAGCTTGACATTGAAGATGAGGAGGGTGAATATCTGGGCCAGGCATTCTCAACAGTGCATTCCGCATTCAACGACATGAAGGACACCCAACAACACAAGTTTGAGCAGAAGTGACTTGAACAGGCGGATGAATTCGAAAAGGAGTACAATTTCCGCTTTGAAGCGCCGAGACTCATGTTAGACAGATGATGGCCATCGCAATACTTCTCGAACTTGGGCCTAGCTGCATGTGCTGCCAGCAGGTCGAAGAGGGGAGGCAAATTCAAGGTCACGCAAGCGCAGCTCTCAACTGAAAGGGTTGTCAAAGAGTCCACTCTCTGTCCAAGAGATGATCATGAACTACCGAGGATTCCCTGAAAATTCTGTACGTGAACGGAAAGCATGCGCCCTAGCATGCGGCATGTCTGGCATTTGCCAAAGCCCGTTGAGGGGTTGCAGCGACTTGTGTGATCTTATGAGAAGTGAAGAGAGGACTGCACAAGGAACAGGAAAAAGCGAACCTCTTCGTCCTCTTTTCTTCATTTGCTTTTCCCAGCTCTTCTTCTCCTCTCCCTCTCTTTTTCCTGTACTCACCTGACTCTGGCCAATTCTCCTTCCCGGAGTTGCGATTGTGTCAGGCGTTGCGTTACCGCGCCCACCCAATCTAGCCACTCGCTCCAGCACCTATATAATCTAACCACTCCCCGTGCCCAATTTAAACCACTCGCCACCCGATCTAGCCACTTGCCACGCAATCTAACCACTCACCACCCAATGTAACCACTCACCACCCGATCCAACCACTCAAGCTCTAAACTAACCAGTCTCAGCCACCAGTCTAACACGAACCCCAATCAAACCTTCTCACGAGCTTGAACAAATGTGGCATAGCTTGGACGGCAGTTACCAGGGACACGTGCCCTTTTCTTCGGTTTGGTTTTAGTCATGGCTGCCATCACAAGCGCCCCAACACGAGATAAATGAGGATTTGTCAGCGAAGTGAGCACGTTTACCATGATCGAATAAAGGCGCGTCACCTAGGTTGTCTATTGCTACTGTTACTGCTGTTGGTGCTGCTACTACTACTACTGCTACTGCTGCTACTACTACCACCACTACCTCCACCACCACCACCACGACTACTACTGCTGCTGCTGCTACTACTACTACTACTACTAGTACTACTACTACTACTACTACTACTGCCACTGCTCCTCCTCTCCTCCTCCTCCTCCTCCTCGGTTTCAGGGGTTGGGTTCGAAGGTTCGGTTTATCGGCATTGTCGTTTCGCATCACAGTCAGCGCTGGTCTCCATTGCCTAGCTTTCAGGGAAATCGAACTCAGAGAATCTACGGGCTTGAAAAGCTCAAAATCACGCTTCCTCTGTGTCGACATTTTTTGAGTTTGCTGGCCAATCGAATTTCGGACCTGACAAGCTTCAAGTTGCGACTGTCCCTGTCTTCCCGTTATGGGCAGGGAGTTCCCTGCTTCTCAAGATTGGAGTTATGAACCCGAAACGGTTCAGCTTTTGCTTCGGTTCAGCTCTCCTGTAAGATTTGTGTTCGCGCGTGTTGTTTTCCACTTCCTTCGGCTCCGACTCAATCAACCCGATCTGTCAGCTCAAGGTTTGCTTCTTCCCCTTCTTGAGCTCAGATCCCATATAGCCCCGGTGGCAAAACTCAGAGGGGTCCGAATAAATAACGAGGTCTGCAATTCTAAATCGGGCAACGCCCTCGGGTTGCCGCCGCAGGCCATGGCCCTGGCGTTGCCATGGGGCGGACGCCAGTGCCGCCGACCCTGCATCATT